CGTATTGCAGAGGCCTCTTGGGAGAGTATGAATCAATTATTCGCTCTCTTTCAAAGCGAACGGACGTCTTTTCGGTTTTACGGTCCGAGAATTTCTTTATTGTTTCGAGAAAGTCAGCGTATTTTGAATAAAAGAAAACTTTTGAAGTAAAAGAGGGCTAAAACAATGCCAAGTTCTCAAGGACGTCGTTGTAAGTAAAGTACACAGAAAAGAAAAGCTGAATTTAGATTTAAAAATGTTACACTATTAAAGTTGCACCATGTTTAAATTCGCTTTTATATTAAACCATCCATTTCAAATACTTACCTCTTTTTCAGCACAAATGCCTCTTACGAAGAGAATATGCAAGAGCTGCGAAAGGATAGTGTATCCTTCGGCATACTCATGACCCTGAATACCCTACTGATGCTTTTCTCTGGAGTTTACTATGTGGATGCATTCAACAGATTGGCTCTGAAGCTCACAGTCCGCATGCGTAGGGAATTCTTCAAGGCCACCTTGAGGCAGGAAATCGGCTGGCATGACATGGCCAAGGATCAAAACTTTGCAGTACGCATTACTGAGTAAGTAATTTGAAAACTATATGAAGACATTTATTAACCCGACTCACTCCTAGCAACATGGAGAAAATACGCAGTGGCATTGCAGAGAATCTGGGTCATTATGTGGAAATTATGTGTGAAGTGATAATCAGTGTGGTTCTATCTTTTATTTATGGATGGAAACTGGCTCTGGCAATAGTGTTTTATATTCCCCTAACATTAGTGGTCAACTCGGTAGTGGCCCATGTAAGTAGACCCAATTAGATTTTAATTTTCGTTTTAATACCGCATCTCATTTGTTTAGAACCCGTTCGCAAGAAACGAAGGCAATTTCTAGCAAACGTAAAGTGAACTTGACCATTTGCTTGTTTTATCCGAAAATAGTTTTCCGAAAATAGAATAAGTACCTACCTGCCTCAGTGAAAACATATATTTTTACGAATCGTTTAGCATGAATAGTTTTGGGAGAACGAGAAAGAAATAATCTTTTATAAGAGGGCTTTTCAAATAGAAAATTTGTAATTTGTACTATCTAAGTAAGATTACTCTTCTTAAAGGAATCATAGAGAAATCATAAGTAAATTCAATATATTTTCCACCAATAATAATAACATATCACCATTCATTTTTCAGTACCAAGGAAAACTCACGGGCCAGGAGCAGAGTTCCTATGTGCGGGCCAGCTCTGTAGTTGAGGAAGTAATCGGTGCCATCCGGACTGTGGTGGCATTTGGAGGAGAACGAACCGAGTCCGTGCGCTATGATACCCTCCTGAAACCCGCTCTCAGGGCTGGAAAATGGAAAGGAGTCTTCTCCGGACTAAGCGACACGGTGATGAAGGCCATGTTGTTTATCACAGGAGCGGGATCTTTTTGGTACGGAGCAAATTTGATCCTATTCTACCGTGATCCAAGTATTCCCATCAACGAACGCGAGTACACACCAGCGGTTGTGATGATTGTGATATCGGGAATTATCGTGAGTGCCAATCAAATATCCCGCACATCTCCATTCCTCGAAACCTTTGCCATGGCTCGAGGATCGGCATCGGCCATATTAGAGGTCATCGATCGCACTTCGTTGATTGATCCACTCTCCAAAGCCGGGAAAATTCTTAACTACGGCCTGAAGGGTTCAGTTGAGTTCCGCGATGTGTTCTTTCGTTATCCCGCCCGCGAAGATGTTATTGTCCTACGGGGTCTTAACGTGATCGTGGAAGAAGGACAAACTGTTGCCTTGGTGGGTCCTTCGGGTTGTGGAAAATCCACCTGCATACAGCTCTTGCAACGCTTTTATGATCCAGTTTTTGGACAAGTTCTATTGGATGGTGAGGATGTGCGGAAGTACAACCTCAACTGGCTGCGGTCGAATATTGCCGTGGTGGGTCAGGAACCGGTGCTCTTCCAGGGAACCATTGGGGAGAATATCCGTCATGGAAAACCAGAAGCCACACAAAAGGAGGTCGAAGATTCCGCCAAAGCTGCCAACGCTCATGACTTTATTGTAGCTTTGCATAAGGTAAGGTTTCAAAACTTGAAAATTAATAATATACTATAGGATTGCCTTCACTTTCAGGGCTATGATACGGATATCAGCGAGAAGGGTGTACAACTTTCTGGAGGTCAGCGTCAGCGGATTGCCATCGCCAGAGCTCTGATCCAGCAGCCCAAAATTCTGCTTCTGGATGAGGCCACCTCAGCCTTGGACTATCATTCCGAGAAGCTAGTACAGGCTGCTCTGGACAAGGCCTGCAAGGGTAGAACCACTCTGGTGGTGTCCCATCGCCTTTCGGCCATCAGACACGCTCATCGGATTGTCTATATTGAAAATGGCAAGGCCGTGGAGCAGGGCACCCACGAGGAGCTGATGAAACTGGAGGGTTTCTACCACAAAATGGTCACCGTGCATTCCTATGATGATTCCGCCGAGGAGCTACTGAACGAACTGGAAGAAGAGGCCGAGAACAAGGAGAGAAAAATGTCCTATGAAGTTGAACAGTTCCAACTGGGCACTCGTAACTCTATTGTGTCGCTGGGGAAGAATGTGGAGTTCCAAATGAAGAACCTAAATGGTCTAGCCAACCCAACTTTGAATCAGGAGCTAGAGGAACAGGGTAGTCCATCTGGAAATTATCTGCGTACCTTCTTTAGAATTTTGGGTTGGGCAAGGCCCGAATGGAGTTTCCTCATCATTGGCGCCATTTGTGCTGGTCTATTTGGAGTCACCATGCCGGTGTTTTCCGTTATCCTAGCGGAATTATATGGTTCGTTGGCCAAACCCACGGACGAGGAGGTTCTTGAACAGAGTGCCTCAATGGCCATCATCTCCCTGGTGATTGGAGTTGCAGCTGGCGTGGTGTGTTTCGTCCAGACATTTTTCTTTAATCTAGCCGGAGTCTGGCTAACCATGCGAATGCGGTGGGTCCGTAAAAATTCATCTGTTCTTCAGATTCTCATTGAGTAATCCTTTATTTTATAGATCAAAGACATTCAGTAGTATCATGCACCAGGAGATGGGATGGTTTGATCGCAAGGAGAACAGTATTGGTGCACTTTCTGCCCGACTGGCTGGAGATGCGGCTAGTGTTCAGGGAGCAATCGGTTTTCCCTTGAGCAACATCATCCAGGCGTTTACCAACTTTATATGCAGTATTTCCATTGCCTTTCCATACTCCTGGGAACTGGCCTTAATCTGCCTGAGCACCTCGCCCTTTATGATAGCCTCCATTGTGTTCGAGGCGAGATTTGGGGAGAAGTCCGCTTTGAAGGAGAAGGCGGTCCTTGAGGAGACCAGCCGGATAGCCACGGAAACCATAACCCAAATTCGAACAGTCGCAGGACTTCGACGGGAGGAGGAGCTCATTAAGATATACGACAAGGAGGTGGAGAGATATCGGGTCCAGATCCTCAGTCGTCTGAAATGGCGTGGACTGGTCAATTCCATGGGTAAATCCCTCATGTTCTTTGGCTATGCAGTGACTTTAACTTATGGTGGGCATATGTGTGCCGATGGCAATATTAAATTTGAGACTATTATGAAGTGGGTAAATACAAAAGTATATTCTTTATCAAGCACTAACATTTGATATCTTTTTAAGAATATCCAACACAATGCTGTATGGCTTGTTTATACTGGCCCAATCTCTGGCATTTACTCCTGCCTTCAATGCCGCTCTCCTCTCCGCGAATCGCATGTACGAGATCATTGATCGCAAGCCAACGATCCAATCTCCCGAATCCTTCGAGATCCAGCAGAATGGCAATGGCTCCGCTTACAAGACAAATGTGGTCCAACAAGGAGTTAGCTATCGGGGTCTCAACTTTTCCTATCCTTCAAGACCCCACATCAAAGTGCTGCAAAACTTTAATCTGGATATAAACCAGGGTCAGACGGTGGCCTTAGTGGGTGCCTCGGGATCAGGAAAATCTACCTGCGTCCAGCTACTGATGCGCTACTACGATCCCGATGAGGGAAAGATTGTAAGTCAAATCAGGAAATATAATAAATCAGAATTTCTATAATATGAAACCTTTTACCAATTCCAGCTTATAGATCAGGAGAGCATCCACCACGACATGGAACTGAAAACTCTGCGCCGTCGGTTGGGAATTGTGTCCCAGGAACCTTCCCTCTTTGAGAAGTCCATTGCCGAAAATATTGGTTATGGGGACACCACGCGGCAAGTGCCCATGCAGCAAATTATTGAGGCTGCCAAAATGGCCAATGCCCATGAGTTCATTATGTCCCTGCCTGCCCAATATGATACTGTATTGGGCTCCAAGGGAACCCAACTATCCGGTGGACAAAAGCAAAGGATTGCTATAGCGAGGGCAATGGTGAGGAACCCCAAGATCCTGCTGCTAGATGAAGCAACCTCTGCACTGGATTTCCAAAGTGAAAGGGTGAGTCTTCTACTATTTTTAGATATGATCTGGTAAAAACTAAATATTATTTTTTTTTAAATTTAAATTTTAATGAATTATTTCCTTGTTTTAGGTGGTTCAGCAAGCTTTAGACTCGGCGTGTTCGGGTCGCACCTGCATTGTAATAGCTCATCGCCTGTCCACCATTCAAAATGCCAATGTGATTTGTGTGATTCAAGCCGGAAAAATAATGGAGCAGGGAACTCATGCTCAACTTCTGGCCAGGAATGGCATCTATTCCAAGTTGTATCGCAGTCAGACGAAAGCCTCTTAAAAATACTTGGAAAAAGTCTTTGATGGAGAATTACAAATGGCTAAGCACGGAAGTATGCAATAAATATTTCTTAGTTGTTAGTTGAGACGCAAACCAAACTGCTTTCCCCCATAAGCAATAAATCGTTAGGAATAGTTGGTAAATAAATTAATATAAAGATAAACAATTGTCTTAAAGTGTTTGATTTTACATATTTACATATGGGCAAGAAAACTTTTTTAGTTGAATGGCTCACTATTATCTATCATAATTCATTTTGCAGTGCTTGAAGTTTTAATGACCCTATCTCTTATCGCTTAATAAGGCGAAATTCGTCACAATGGTTTGTTCTCTATTGTTTAACTTTGTGATAAGATATAGGGTAAGCGTTATCAAATTTACTTTGTGGACGGCAATATTAATTGGTTGCCGCATTGCGATTTTTCATTTCACCGCGTAAGGTTTAGGAACCTTAGGATGAAGACTGTAACCATTTTTCTAATATGGCTGGGTGAGTAATTCAAAAAATATAAATATAATAACTTTATGAAGAGGGCTCTCCTAAACAGCCTGTACTTTTGGAGCAAATATTCCACCAACACCATGCCCTTTGGCAACTGGTTGTGGTAAGGTGGATGAGTCAAGTGCTATTTGCGGATTAGATGAGGAGGTGGGTTGTATTCGAAAATATCCCTCAAAGTGTCACTTGGATATAGCAGCATGCCAGGAAAAAGGAAAAAGTAAGTTCATATTTTTAATATATAAGGCGCCTGCTACCCAATTAATTTCATTTTAGATTTCACCGACTATAGTGAGGTGTACTGCTCATTGGAATCGTATCTCTGCGAAAAGTCACCCACTTACGAGCGCTGGACCATTTACTTTGGTCACGAGGATGAATAAAAAATAACTTTTATAATTAATGGGCGACACGTACTGAAATATTACGCTTATAATTGTACTTCGGTTAACGAACTGAATGATTAACTAAAATATATTTCTTTTATTCTAATCGTATTACTTTGCTTGTGCTGAAAGTACAACAAAGTAATATCAGCTTCAAAAATTAGTAATACAAAATCGATATTGATATGGTTTAATTAAGCAAAGAAGGTTAGACTGTTATCATTATAAGAAATACAACTTATCCCAGTTAAAAATGAGGCTTTCGTCCATTGTGTTCTTCTGCTTAAGTAAGTGGTTTTAAATTAAAATAAAATTAAACAAAATCTTAGGAACAAAAATCTAACAGTTTGCAGTCTGAATGCGAGCGGTACACCAAATAAAAATTGCCCTTCGGAGAGAATTTGTGGAGAAGTAAGCGAATCAAAAGCCGTTTGTATTTTAGATGAAAATAAAAATTGTATAAGAAAATTTAAGTCAAGCTGTCATTTTGCAATTGCCGCCTGTAAGGATCGTAATTTACGTAAGTAACATCTAAATAGTAATAACTGATAAATATCGTAAATATCTTATCGATAATTCGACGTTTAGGGAAGTATTTCAATTTATAAGGTATCACTCAAGAACGTCAAAAACATTTATATCTTGATTGTAATTTAAAGTTTACTTTAATGATAATACCAACACTTTAAATATTTATAAGTCTTTGAATGATATTATATACATTGCTGTGTTTTAAGATACAAATTGTATTTATCACTTTAAATATGTATTACTGATGAGCACCAGAACAAGTCAGTTACCACGTAGTTCTTGACCTATGATACCCCTTTCATTGAATAATAACTATGGGGTTCAACTTACAGAATTCACCGACTATAGCGACGAGTACTGCGGAATGGATGGTTGGATGTGCCAAGAGCCGCCCTACGAACGCTGGACACTCTTCTTTGGCCAAGAAGCTGAGTAAAAGACGACATGGCCGATCGCCGACGACGAATGTGCAAATTAATTAGATAGCCTTTCAATAAATAATCAATCAATGCGCAACGGGCCGTTCACGTGCCAAACGACGACGACTACGTCAAAGACCGGTAGGAGGCAACCGATAGCCACCAGCGTTTTTTCCCACTCAGTGAGACAGAATGACGCCTCGAGCCTTTTATACGCTTTTTTATCCAATATTTTCTCGCCGTTTTTTATTTTTGCGCTTTTTTGTGTTATTTTTGGGTCTTCGACGGGTGCTTTGCATAATCTCAGTCGGCGGCGCCACAGCCCATTGGCCTCCTCCTTCAACGCCAATCAGCGGAGATCTCCATACCTGTGCATATATAAAAAGTGGACCCCTCCGAGATTCGGTTGTCAGTTAATGCCCATCAATCGAATCCGTTCCAGGCACAGCCATGAGCAGCGAATCGCTAAAGTTCTATCTGATATGTCTGCTCGTTATCTGTGGTTAGTTTAGTGAAATTGAACCAATCTTTATAAATCAATTGCAATTTCCCATGTGTACATTTTACAGTGGTCGGTTGGAGTGCAGGAATGTTGAGTTCGGAACTTTCACGGCAGGAACTCGAGGATCGGTATCGAGAAATGCCGCCGGTTTCCGATGAACGAGATGCAGACGCCGAGCTGGATAGCGCCTACGATCGGTTTACTCAAAGACCTCGAAGTCCAGATCTGAAAGGCTAGACAATCGATGTGGGTGTTCTATTCGCAGTGACACTTCTTATGTCGCTTTCAGGGTTATGGCTATGTAGTTCTAAGCTTAGGCAAAATGTACAAGCGTAAAATAAAGCAATTACTTTGGTGAAACGTGCGCATGGTTACTTTCCATTCCATCACGTAGATTGACATGACATCCGCCGTCGGGGCGGCTTCTATAAATCTGAACTTTCTGGCATTCGATTCAGTCAGTTATCAATCTGTTTTTGGTGCGAAAAGTACAGCTAAGATGACCTCAGAAAGCAAGATGGTTCTGCTCTTCCTCATCGGTTGTGTGGTCATGCAGACAAGTAAGTCACTGGATCATCTGGTATCATAATAATCATCACCTAACTGAATTTTCCTTCAAGTCAACGCCCTGCCCTTCGATAGATTCAGTCGGGAGGATGATGAACGGAACAACGAGGTCAGCGGGGAATGGTTCAAAAAGCCCATCCTCACGTTGGATCGTCTTTTTAACAGCCGAGAATCACCGTCGGGAAATCAGAAGGAAGTGATCAGACCCAGCCGAAGCAATAAGGGTGAAACCACGCAAAGCTCCAAGCACGCCCACTCCATGATCACCTCTATGCTCGGTTTCGTCAGCAGTGTCATCAACTTTGGCAGGTCCTTCGTAAGGGATGAATAGAAATTATCCTAGACTAATGACTAAAATCATAAAGCTTATAAGACAAGTCTCGTGATTCCATATGCCACATGTTGTAGCTTTAAATATTGTCATACATCCATTAATAAATATATCGAAGAATTGAATTTTAAACCTGATCATGTTTTTTTGGTTCTAGTTCTAAATTAGCAAAGAAGACGTTTATAAGAAATTTTTAATAACAATTTTAAGAGGTGTTGTATTCTAATAAATTTAAATAGATCTTTAAATTCACCTTAAAACACTTAACTCTCACTTTTGATACCGATATTTTAAAATTTCTTTCAAAAGCACAAAACTTAAATTACAACCCATATTGGCTTTTTTGACACATATTTAACCAACTCTCTTTTACACAGACATATTTAGCACCCGACATTTTATAAAAACGTTTTAATAAATTCGGACAAGACTAACGTCCAAGCGGTTATATTATTTTCTGTCTGCCTCTAACACTTTTTCAACTCTTTTGCCAGGCACGCCTCTTAACGAATGAATAAGGTGTGAGTATGGGTATAAACCGAAGAGAGATATTTATAGGAAAATGTTACCGCCAATTAAGACGTCATAAAATCACGCATCTGTTACCAAACCGCTCACAACACAAACTGCCACTAGTGACGTCTGAGATCTGGCTGGACATTAGATTTGACCCAACTTTTTACTAATACGCTATAAGCATTGTCCGGGCAGAATGGAAATTAATCATATCAATGAATGAGCAGAGGTGTTGAACGTAAAAGGAATGACGTCTCTATCAACCAAGCCCTCTTGTGATGTCGGGGATTTTTTCGCTACTTAATTCGATAAATTTTTTTGCCTTCTTAAGACGATTATGTGTGACGACATGAGAGGTGCGAATTTACAAATGCTAATTGTGTGGCTTTTTTTTCTTTTTCTGTGCAAACTTGTTTGAGCATTGTTTAGCCGGCATTAATTGTAAATATTGGCTTGTTTGGACAATCAGTCATAACGAGACCTTGTCGGGGATACTTTCAACGCGCTGACCGGGATTTCTATTCGAGGGAAAATCCAAAGCTCAGCACTTTTTAATTTTAGCGTGTAATTCTGTAGAACAACGTTTTGGTTCCAAACGAGTGATTAGTCCCCGAAAACAACTTGAAATTGAATGCTGCTGGCCCGTGGGTTTCTATTTGATACACAGAAAAGAAAAGGTATAAATTGGGAAAAGCTCTCAAAATACAATACAACATTAATTTAAATTTTGTATTTATACCATAAATGTGAATTTTAACTGCTAACAGTGATTTTAAACCTGGTTGCGCAAAACCCTCAAGGTTAGAGTTGCCATTCTACAACGGAGCCCGTTAGAAACGCAGTGTTTGTGTGGGTGGTATACGTTTTATTTGGATCACATAACAAAAGACTTGAGCAACGAACTCGCTCGACAGGGGCAGAAAACTATATATACATTTGTAATGGTTGGGGGACTTGGATGATCTCCGTTTCCTGGGATCTCTAGCTGACCTCCAGCAAATGGTATTTGAACATTTTATTCAGCGAACTCATGTTCTGGGACAACTCGTTGCAGACGCGCACCACGCAGCCTTCAAAGGAAGATAGTGATGAAATTAGGGGCTTAACACCTGGCCAGATCACTTCACTAACCCACTAGATACTTGATCACTCGCAGCAGCACCATGGCGATAGAGTCGAGAACTTAAAGAACTGCGTCCATGCACACGCGACGAGACTTAGAACCAAATTGAACGTCAAGCCGCTCATGCAATCGCGAATAAGTGAAAACATTTGGTGAGCGGTAGCTGCGCTGACGTCGACGTCGGCAGAGACGTAGGCACAGTGGGGCAAATTGGTTGGCCAAAGGTTGTGCCACCTAGAGGCGGTCATGTTTTTATGGCCCACTTAGCACATTAAGGCAAATTGAAATATTTGCCAAGCGAGCACACATTGCTCTTCAAACATGTTTGTCTCACTGTGAAAATTATACTCATTTTCCCATTTTATTGTATATATTTACTCACCACTGTGCTTCAAGAACTTTTTGCTGGTGCTGCAATGTTTATTCTCTTTTTTTTAAATGTGTTTATTCACATTATATTTTTAGCAAGTTGGTGTCAATTAGGCATGCTACTTTTTTGTAAAGTATCTTTCGCCATTTTTTGCACTGCGCAAGCATTTTTTGTTTACACTGCAATTCAATTGTTAATGGGATTTATACAACCTGTTTTCTCCGAATTAAAAAAAAATTTCAGACTTAACAATTTTATTTGTGTATTCTGAAATTGCATCTTTTATGAAAGCATTCAATTGAAATATATATTATAGGTCCAATATTATTGAACATAAATCATATTGCAAATTTTGTTTTAGCCATTAATAATGATAACTGAATGTCATAAGTTCTGTACCACTGTGCAACTGGTGTGTGGGCAAAGCTAAATCGAGAACTTCTTGTTGATGTTGCAATCTGCTGATTTTTTCCTCAATTTTTACAAGCGCATATTTCCATTAATTTTTTCGGCAATGTTTATTTGCGTGCATTGCACAAGGCAAAAGGCGCAGAATCGAGCGATGCGAATTACGTCATCAGAACTCGTTTATATGCAGCCATGAGAAGCTGCTGCGCAGGCGCAGCAATTGAGGCCAGAAATAAAAAGAACCAGCAGCTCTGACACTCGCCGCAGTCTTTATCAATGCAATTACTTATGTCATTGCGAACTCGGTGGAAAACGAGTTTCGGTACAACAAATACAGTTAGCCCAAAAATCGAGAAATCAAAATAGCCCCATCGAAAAGTTACTGCAGTTCAAGTCGACAGCGCAGTCGACGCTTTGGTCATGAATTTTGCACAATTTTCAGCTGTGATCGTGATTTTCAATAGTTGCTGGTGCTAGCTAGTTTCTGCATTTGGCTCTTTTAATCGGTATAGCAATAAACTTCAAGTTTTCGGCGATCGTGGGCCGAGCAGATTTGTGAGTTGCAATTTATGGCGTTTTGTGTTCGGTCCGATACTTTAGTTTTATTTAGTTTCGGTCAGGCCCGAGTGGATTTGGTTGCAGTTTCTCACCTTCGATTCGGCGGCGTACTTCCAATTAATAACAACTATTTCAATAAATTGTAACACTTCTGGTTAAACGAAGATCGGCGATAGCTTATGGATAATGGATAGTCATTAAAATAGTTTGTTTTTAAATGCTAAATTATAAAAAGCACGAAAGAATTAACATCAATTATTTAAATTACGTTTAAGGCAGCAAAAGAAGTGAAATATTTTTTTTTATGAAATTCCTAGTCTCATTTATCGTACCTAAAAAATCACTGTTTTGGCTGCCATAATGCTTATAAAGGTCAGAATTAAGAATGTCATATCTCGTTGAACTCGTCGTTTAATTTTCAAGCTATTGCCATTAACACCTCAACATGTTAAATTTTTACCATTTCTCTCAAAAAAAAAGCCCTTATGAAAAATGAGAGAATTGGTCAAAAAATAAAATATTCTTAAAGTGGTGAGAATCGTTAGCATAAGTTGTGAGCTGCTCAAAACAGTAGGTCTTTTGGCTGTACGACTTGATTTGCCTTAATTACGATTGAAAAACAGCTAAATCAAAGAGTAGTTTTGACTAAAATCTAAAATCGTATTTTAAGCCCTAAAAAATCACTGTTTTTGGCTGCCATAATGCTTATAAAGGTCAGAATGAGGAATGTAATACCTCGTTGAACTCGTCGTTTAATTTCCAATATATTGGCATTAAAACCTCAAAATGTTTAATTTTTGTCATTTTTCGCAAAAATAAGTGATGTAACCCCTTATGAAAAATGTGAAAATTGGTCAAAAAAAAAATTTAGATTAAAGTGATGAGGATCGTTAGCATAAATTGTGAGCTGCTCAAAACAGTCGGTCTTTTGGCTGTACGCCTTGATTTGGCGTTATTACGCTTGAAAAACCGCTTCAAAATTGATAAATTTTGACTTAAATCTGAAACCGTATTTTCCGGCATAAAAAATGCACTTTTTTGGCTGCCATATTTCTCAAAAGGGTCAGAATCAGGAACGTCATGCCTTTTTGAACTCGTCGTTTAATTTCCAATATAATGGCATTAAAACCTCAAAATGTTTAATTTTTGTCATTTTTCGCAAAAAAAAGTGATGTAACCCCTTATAAAAAATGCGAAAATTGATCAAAAAATAAATTTTTCTTGAAGTGATGGGGATCGTTAGCATTGGAAGCAAGCTGCTCAAAACAGTCGTTATTTCAGCTGTAAGCCTTGATTTGGCGAAACTGCAGTTGAAAAACCGAAAAAAAAATCTTATTTTTCCTACCTTAAAAATCTGTGTTTTTGCCCATTTCATGAAATATTTGTGCAAATTGGTCATCGCATAAGGACAATATATTACCACAGTAAAATTCATACATGTATATATTATATATTATACGTATTTAACTAAAGTGAATTTTGTATTCGTTTTTCTCTCGATTTCTATGTTACCGATTAGTTAAACACATTTTTATTTCACACTACTGGGTCGCCAGAAAGTATGCTATGTTTTCCACGTGTTGTTTATGGTGTGTAAGGTTCCGATCATGGACCCTATTATGATACCCCTACAATCAAAATGCACGGATCTACGAGGAAAAATAATCTACCACCTTGGTTAAAAAGTGAAAGAAAGTGACATTCAAATCTATGTAAGCCCTTCCACAATTAAATCCTGGATACGCCGATAAGGACCCTAATATAAAGTTATAAATGTTAAAATTAAAGAAACTTAAGATAAGGAATCTTATAATTTCAGTTCTTAGGTATAAGTTAGAGTACACTTTTGTTTATCTATAGTTTACCGGAGGCGTTGATCCATTCCACAACGTTCCCCGATGGCATCGAACCGGTTTTTTGGTTTTATTCGATTCCGATTCCGCGATTTCAAGCCGGCCGGCGAATGAGACTATCAACAAACAGCTGGAGAAGAGTTTGTAAACATATGTCGAGAGCAAAACAAAATCGGAAAGATTATCGTTCTCAACTATATACATATAAGGCCGAAGACGAGAGCAACCGATGGCAGCCGAGAAGAACCGATCGAGAGACTACGAAAATCAAAACTTTGGGGTCTCAAGGAAAACTTCTCGTTGCAGTTTCATCAGTTGCTCGCGAAGAGCCATCCAGGGTGGTTGGATGAGCTCCAGCTTAGATAACATAATTAACATATGTAAAAGGTTTATGAAATCCCAGAAGGTCGAATTCGAAGCTGTCCATGACGATCGAATTGCCACTAACAGACTTCCATACCCCTAAACGGATTGAAGTTCTCCACTCGAAACCAACATGTATAGATTGACAGACCAATAATTCATTTGTTAAAAATTGCACAGCACTTGTAACATATACACAAAAAACGAAGAGCCCTATGTCGTACTCCAAGGACCAACGTCCAGATTTTTAGTTATATTAGGTTTGGACTCTTATCTTTTGACCGGCCGGCGAAAAAAAACAAACATCGAAATACCAGGGAAGGGGATGTAAACATATGTTGAGAGCAAACCCAAATCCAAAAGATTGTCGTTCTCGTAGCCATATAAAATGCCGAAGACGAGAGCACCCGAAGACAGCCGAGAAGACCCGATCGGGCTACTACGAAAATCAAAATTTTTGGGGTCTCGAGGAAAACTTCTCGCTGCAGTTCCATCAGTTGCTCGCGAAGAGCCATCCAGTGCGGTTGGATGAGCTCCCTACAAGGAATACGAAAAGAATAGTGAAGAAAGTGACAAGTAGATAAGAAAGTGAAATACATAAGAGTGAACCGGGAAAGAAAGAGATAGAACCGGAAGTGGTCCGAGAAAGGATTGTCGTTATCGCAGCGCGGGTGCTTGAACTCTCGGCACGATGGGGCTCAGAATGGCCTCCATTGGGTTCCTGCTCCTGATCCTGGCAATTTCCTATTGCCAGGCAGAGCTAACGCCACCATATTTCAATTTGGCTACGGGCAGGAAGATACAAGCCACGGCCACTTGTGGTCAGGATACGGACGGACCAGAGCTTTATTGTAAATTAGTAGGTGCTAATGCGGATGAGGATCACGTCGACTACTCAGTCATCCAAGGACAGGTAATTATAATCGACATCCAGCAACGCCCAAAAATCATTCCAGTATACACACAATGTCAGATAATCTTTGATCCTACACTGAGATTTAAAATGTAGATGGAAATAGGATTTGTTTTCTACAATACTTCAACAAAATTTTATTTTAAAATTTATGTACTTGTATTGATTGGTACTTTTTATATAAAATTACTTGACAAAAGATTGAAACCTTTTAAGACACTTAGATTATTAAATGTAACATGAACTTTAATCTTTTAAAAAGTCATTTTTCCAAGTGTGCACTGCATTTAGAAGTCTCCCACATGTGTTCAACATTCGAATTGGACTCTAAAAATACTCTTGACTCGATGTGGATCTTTCCATTAATTTTTTCTAACATGTGTTTTCGGTTTTTTGTAGGTCTGCGACTACTGTGATCCCTCGAACCCGGAGAAGAATCATCCGCCAGAGAACGCGATCGATGGCACCCAGGCCTGGTGGCAGAGTCCTCCGCTGTCCAGGGGCATGAAATTCAATGAAGTCAATTTGACCATCGATTTCGAACAGGTAAGCAGCAGAGCAGAGAACATAAGAGATACCAAAGGTATCCGCCTGAGAAACGCATAGGAGGGAGACGGTGGATGGATGCAACTCGTTTTCGGGTCCGAGCGATGGGATCGTAAAATTTGAAA